GGAAGGCAACCTGCCAGTCAGGGTTGGGATCTGCGAGGGTAACCAGAGTCAGGCACAGCCCCGTGATCGCTGGGCAGGTGCACAGTGACGAGGCACTTTGAAGATCAAGGTAGGAACTCAGACCACAGGTCACAGTCCAGATCAGTGGGGTCCATGGCAGGGCACAGACCTGACTGTGACTCTGCTGAAGTTAAATACAGTGCTGAACTTACATAAAGTGTCCCATAGGCACTGGGTGTGGATGGAGGCACAAAGAGAAACCATTAAGGTCTATTCATGCGCTCAGAGCCCTGACAACACACTGTTTCACCGGGGTGATCTTCCATACATACAAAACCTACTGCAGACAATGTTTTTCCACTAGAGGGCTAATATCCTTGTTTCAGGGTTGCTCCTCATTCAAAAGCATGTAGAAATTATTATTCCTAAGGGATGGCTGTGCTGGAAAGGTGTTACAGACTGTCCGTAGCGTGGAGAGCGTGGCTGAGATCTGTGGGAGAGGCACTCTTTTGTGAAGAAGGCAGGCTGTTCAGGTTTGGTAATCTGAGATTATGTCAGGAGGGATTGTCTCACCCACATACCCTAGCTGTTGGATCTACGTCACACACCTGACTCCTAATGGCTGACTGCTCACCCAGATAAACCAGTATTAGCACCCTGCACGGATCTCTCTTAAGGAATGTTAAATTTAAGGCATTCTACAGAGAAATAAAACACAAATACAAATGGAAATTTATGCAGCTATTTTACATCTTTCAAGTTGCAGCTAAGCAGGAGCACATCAGGAACACCACAGCGGTGGCAAGATGCGCTTAGCGTTCAGTAGTGGTGTAGAAGAAATAATAACAAAGGGAAGCTATGTAAGTTATGTAGAGTAAGGTGGTTTGATTTTATTTATTAAGCCTGGTTGGAAATTCCTTCATGAATTGCATCTTACGTGAATGCCTGTCAACAAAATATGGTTTGGTGCCAATCAAAGATTATGACCTATATTACCATTCTAGAAACTGGGAGAACTGGCTTGGCACCTCATGCCAGGACTGCAATTCAATCTCTGATGTCTAATTTAAAGTCAGGTTAAATTATTTTTCACAATAGAAAATTACTTACTTAAAATGTGTTCAATCTTTTTGATAATGCATCCCTTGCCAAAAGGATCTTTGACAAAGCATCTGACAATCTCAGTGAATCTCAGGTTGTCTACCTTTCTTCACAAAAACAACAACAAAAAATGGTGTTTGCTACAATAAATTAAATTGCTAGGCTTAAAAATAAAATCTGATCCCTAACATTTGGGGTGTCTTAATTTCAATGGGACTCACATTATTATATCCAGTAATATGATCAATATTTAGTTCAGGAATTACTTGATGACTTGCTCAAGAAAGCCAAGTATCCAGATACTTGAGTTTTCCTGTGCCTTGTGTGGCAGAGTCTCTTTTATTTTAAAAATGTTCTTATTCTTGGAAAATCCTAATTTACAGGACTGCGTCTAAAAGGCTTTTTCTAATGGGAACAGAGATGTCAGAATGTAAAAATACCGAACAGTGACACTTGGTGGTTACTTACGTAACTTGCATGCTTCTCACCATTAGCATACATGAGACGCAAAATGATCCTCAGGTTTTCATTCAGATTTAGTAGCTTGAACAATATATTTATGGAAGTCTGTATTTCCCAGGCATCTTTCTTTTGAAAGCATTTAGAAGACTGCTTTAGAAGCATCACGTAAGCCTCATGTTGTTCTGTGGTGCTGAGGTGTTTTTGAATTTTTTAGATGCTGAAATTAGAAACTAACCAGGGGCCAAAATATGTGCAGTTAATTACTGCACAATACAAAGTGGTTTCATACTTGCTGTATTCCCTGGGCCATGTGTCCCTTCATGTCCTGTTGTAATCTACACCTTCCTGGCATATACACTCCCACTTACTTTTGAATCAAGCTCTGTGTGGATTGGAAGTTGTATTTTCATGAAAAAGGCATTGGCTATGTGATTATTCTCCAAACATGGCAAATTTAGGACATTATTCGCCACAACTGAATACCTAAAAATCAAAAATATGCAATAAAAAACCTCTCAAATAACTCATGTTATTTGACTGGCAGAGGGTTATCAGTACCTTGCAGGTTTGTGTTTCCTGATTGCACAAGAGTCAGATGAGGTTTCCAAAACCAGCAGGTCACTGGGAGTCAGCACTTACAGTCTTCTGACTGCTGCTGCACCCCAAGGCCTGACTGCTCCCTGGAAAGTTACCCAAGAGACCTGTGGCAGCTGTGAAAGTCATGCCAATTGGTTCCTCACTCCTTTGGGGTGTAAAAACAGGGAGAGATGGGGCCTGACACAGCTTAATTTCATTATTGTTTTCCAATCTCACCAAGAATCACATTCTACAAGACTAGTAACTGTCAGGGCAGGGAGTGGTTGAGACATGGAGACTTTAGCATAATCTGAAAAGAAGCTGTTTGGGCACCTGATACTGGTTACCTCTCACCTCTGAGAAAAAACAGCTCGAGGAGGTGGGAAGAAAGCGTAAAACCAGAAAGCATAAAAAGAGACAGTCCCGATGGCTGAAATACTACTGGGGGTAGCTGACTGTTTCACAGTGTTTCTCATCCAGGCTCTTGTATGATTTTTGGTGAGGGCAGGAGGTACCAATATTGGTGTTTTAGGTGAGGGGAGTAGGAAGGTACAGGGTATGTAGGGCATATTTATATTGCACAATGAGCCAACAGGACTGACTACTGTGCTGTGATGTGTTTGAAGGAGATCCCATTGCTTTTTCTCTGAAGATGCTCTATGGACTTTCCAGGTCAATGATACTCTGTGAGAAATGGGAGCAATGTCATGGTGATGAATGTAGAATTTTCCACTATGTAACTGAAGTATCGATTTTATAAAATCCTCTTGAAATATTTTGTCTGGCTGTTATAGGAGATGAAAGTCATTATAATCTATTCACTATCAAAATAGTACGAATTCTATATATTTTGTATATTAATTCCAAAAACTAATAATTTGTATGAGAGTGTATTCATTGAAGGAGTCTTGTATTCAGGCTTTTCTGAAAGGTAAAAATATTTTCACATGGAATAAGCATCTTTCACGTATTTTCACATTAGACAGAAATACTTTCATCACTTGAGGCCCTTCCTGGAACTCATTCAACTATGAGAACACTTGCTTTTAATAAGGGATTGTTTAAGCCAGTGGGATTCCTGGAATTCCTGAGCCATTTATGCTCTCCTGTATGCTTTTCTTAGCACATCTTAACTCAAGGAACATTTTCTTTCATCCACAGAGACTTAATGATGGTAAGAAATAGTCATTAAAACTATGATGGCTTGGACTGGCAAGTGTGTATATAGAGCACAAAGGCATCTACACCTGTTTCACAGAATAATAATATTTAGTATATTATAATAGTTTCAGAAAAAAATAGCAAGTACTTTTACAAATATTAGTTAAGGTTTATCATATGCCAGTGAGTTAGGCATTGATAAAATTGTTAATTTAACAATATTACTAACATGAGCTCTGCAAATCCCATTTTATCACAGAGAACACTAAATTGCAATACGATTCCTGTTAATCTTGTGTCTAAGGCAAATAAAAAAAAAAAAGCCCTTGTGGGATTTTTTCTTACAGAAAGAAGGGGAAAGGAGCTTTGTACTCTTCAGAGTCACAGGCTCTGTAGAGATGTGGCTTCTTTTTAAATTATATATGTGAGTTTTTCTGACAGGCCACTGTCTCTAAATTCTCCTGGGAAAAGGAAATTCACTTTGCACTGTGAAAAGGGAAAAGACAAGATAGTCTACATGAGGACTACCCTACCTGGTCACTTTTTAAAGAACTAGGAGATGAATGTGAGAATGATGGGTTATCTTTGCTTTAGTATAATGCAATTCCCATTGGGGATGGAGAGGAGGAGGAGAAGGAGGATAGAGAAAAGATGGAAATAATGTCACAGAGTTAAAAGTTGTGATATCTCATTAAATTCCGTAACAAGCTATACTGGAAACAAAGCAGATCAGAAGCGGGAAGCCACCCACCCACACTTACAAAATAGACTATGGCCAGATCTTTGTAACTCTACTTTCTTCATACAGGAGGAGATGAATGATTAACATCTTTAAGGAATGATCTTCCTCGATTATCTCAGGAAAACATCTCAGAACCAGGAACTTTTATGCACAGCAACTCAAGCAGGGTAAAATATTTACACCTCTACGACACCATTTTTGTCTCAACCAGACCCCACTTTGTCACTGCAACCTTCCCTCCTCACATGCTCTCTCACTGCCTCGGTTGTTTCCCTAACAGTATCAATTTCCTATCTGTGCTTTTCTATTTCTGGCTTTTTGTTTACTTTCTCGCAGATCTCTGCCCTTCTATTTTAGTACTCATCCTTTTTTCAGCAAACAAGGTCACAAGTGATAGTGGGCTTTGGCAATTCCACTATTAGCTAGCTGACATGAATTGACATAACAGATCTGTTTGCTCTCTCATGGTAGCAGCTCCTGGCTTTACAAGTTCACATGTATTAAATTTCTCAGATACAATTTCAGTTGGTGCCCATAACAAAAAATTCAGTAGTGGAATATGAACTGTGACAGAGGTGGAGTTGCCACAAACACACACTTTCAAATCCTGTTTCCAGAAGAGTGTTGAACAGACAGTTCTGACCACTAAGGCACTGGTTTGGCACATGGTTTTGTGTCCCAAGAAGACCATTTGGTTTGTAGATTCAGATCCTGAAAATTTCCTTATTTAATACTGAACACCAAGCATCTCCAGTTTTCACCACAGTTTGGGCTTACATCTTGAGTAAGCTCACGAGCATGGGGTTTTTATTCAGGATCAGGGAAATCCAAACTTAATTTCCAAAACCAAATAATCCCTTTAAATTGATTCTGTGCCAAAGCACTGGCATGTAGTCTTGTACGGAGAAACTAATTCTGCTAAGATCTCTCTAAATACAAAATAGTTTTCACGACTCTATGTTTCATTGTGTCTGTTTTATGCCATTATCTTATTATTCAAAACATTATCATCAGTATAGAAGATTCACTGACTAAAATGTTCGTAACTTGTTCGTTATTTTTAAGTAGAAAATGAACAGCTAAGTTATAAAAGCATTTTTTTCTCAACATCTGTAAGTTAGTGTGAAAAATTCGTAGAAGACATGTTACCAACCTCGTTGATTCTATGATTCTGTTAAATGGAGGATGTAAATAGTATTCTCTAGCTGAAGAAAAGTCTTATGTTCAGAAATAGAAACATAGGTGAAAATGTCAGAGCTATCACTTGCTATTAAATAACACAGAAATGTCTAAAACCCCACCATAGCTAAACAGAGTAGGCAAGCTGAAGGTATGGAGAGCATAAGAAGAATTATCCTGATACTCACCACAACATTTATGTATTAAATAAGGAAGTTAGCATGCAAAACTGAGTTCAGATTTCCCATTATTTTTATATCAATGTCATTTTCCCTTTTTCTTTTCTTTGAACATAAACTGCAGTTTGTCTGAATTTTATTCTCCCCCCTCCATATTTTAAGGTTCTCTTGATACAGCATATTCCAAAGAGTGAAAGCCAACTCCTGCAGCAGGCAGGTGGAGCCTCTTTTTAAGGCAGTGACAGGGAGGTTACAATTATTTTTATATGTATTTCTAACAAAAGTACATTTTGCACTCAGATCGTTTTTGGAGGTGAAAGTTACAATCGCCTGTTTCCACTAACCATTCATCTTATGTTTCCATTTAGAGAGATTCCTCTCTTGCTTTCCTGATGCTCTTCACTGACAGCTGGGCTGACATGTTTTGCTTTTGCATAGGAACCAGGTTCACAGCAGTTCTGATCGCTTAGCTCTTTATTTCAGCAGAACACTGGGAAGTCTGCCTATGTATCCAGCAGCCAGCACTCTTACATCCCAGGATGGAATTAGGTCACAGCTGGGACACACTGAGAGTGCATACTGCAAACCTCCATCTCAGTTAAAAACCCCTGGTTTGTGTCAGATGCCATTAGAGAGGCTGTATTCCAGAACATTGCCAGGAAATGTGATTTCACATCTTCGTACTTCTCAACCTCATCTTTATACTTCTCAACCCCAATTTTTGGTTAGGTAGGATTTTGTGGAGTAGAATAAGAACCCTGATTTGTAAAACTGGGAAATAATAATGCAATAATACAAGTCGTTGGCATGAGCAGACCTGTTGGCTTTGATGGGACTATTCAACTATGCAAAATAACTCAAGCACAAATAAGTATTCACCAGCTTCAGCTCCAAAGCCAAAATTACACACTTATTATCAGTAAACATTATTATTTACACTGTAGTTGTGCTTTAAGGCCTCAATAAAAGACCTAGCACCCAAAAAGCCCAACCTACAGTTGGACAAAATGGATCCAGGATTGCAACTTTCAGCATGAACTGAGACCAAAAAAGGTCAGTAGGAATGTCAGGCCTTAGACAGTCATGTTTTTAATGATTTTACGTATAGATTCATAGATTTTTAGGAGATTTTCTTCTGTCTGTTATCTTTCTCAAAATATTCTGGAGATATGTGAAGGGAACCTTGCTATTATTTAACAGTCTTTCTCAAACAGGTATGGTCAAATTCAATGAGTCAAGCCTAATAATATCTCAGGTTCCCAGTTAAAGACTGGATGCTGATGAAAGTGCAAGAAGAGCGCAGATTCCTTGCTGCCCTGCATCTTGCTGTGCCTGGGGGCTGGGGGAAGTGCTTTGAACTCTAGTGGTAACCAAGCAATAATAGGTTTAGAGGGACATAAAAAATGGAACCAAAATCCTGCTTATTGAAACAGTGCAGAATTTAGCAGCCAGTTTCGAAGATTATCATGTCTGGTAGGTAAGTGACTGCAAAAGAGCCACAGCACTACACCTGCAGCCCCTAGCAAGTAAAAGGAATCTGGGTCATTTCACCTTTACAAAATGTCTGTAATCTTTCTGCTATTATTTAGTTTGAAGGGTTTTGCCTCTGTATTAAAACCATTCACATCCTTTTTTTAGTACTAATCAAATGCTTGATGGCCTCACTCAAATAGATTGAATGTGTTCAAACCCCTTTTCCAGTGTATAAACATTACTGTCTAAAAATCACAGGAAAAATTGACATCTTTGTTAGCAGCCTTTACGAATTTAACATGTTGAGCAGAGTAGCTAGGAAAACGCTGGAGAACAGGAGCTATGCTCACATATTTAGGGAGTCCATCAGGGTGAAGTGTTGTATTAGAACAGCCTGGAGAGGATGCTACTGCTTCCTTCCACTGTGTCAGTTCTCCGGATAACGAAACGGCTCCAGCTTCTGCATCTGTCAGTCTGGCACCTTCAATAAGTAATTAAATCACACTGTAGATTTGTATACATACTTGGATAAATAATAAATGACAGCTATCACACTGGCATGCGAGCATGCATGCATACCCAGGGCAGGAAATCACACACACTATTTCATTTGTTGCCAATTTATCTGTAACAAAGTGAGGAAGATGCCCTGGGGACTGGTGACTAACAAGGAGCCTTGTTTATGCTACAAATCCCATCCGGTTATTAGGCTTTGAAAAGTGCTTTGTTTAACTTATCAGCGCTTCAGCAGGAATGCCAGGGGCATTATTTTTGTTCTGTAAGTGTATTTCTATTCCAGTATTACTGACTCCCATTTCACCCCTTCATAAGAGGTTATGTGTTACCTGAGGGCTGAAAATCAGGCATGAGCTTCAGTGCCTTGTTCAGTCAGGATCAGGGTGGTTAACACTGCACAAAACCTGAACAGGTTTCCTTACTAATTTTGCTGCATTAAATTGGAGAATATCTTTACAGAAAACAAGCCTTTCTTAAGGACCATAAAGCATCACAAAGAATAAGTACCCTATGAAGTATATATGCCCCTCAGTTAAAATTATTTTAGCATGTTAGACTTTCTGCTTAAATTCTTCACTTTACTCAATAGATGGACACTATCTGATTCTGCAGTTACGCAATTCCAAAGGATCACAAGTGTCTGGCAAGTTTTAAGCCTGTTTCACAACAGCACTGATAAGCTGCTACTCTCTCAGATGATCAGAATACCTGTAGTGTGCCCTTGATCAAGTTAATATTTAAAAATAGTAATGCAATTTTTTTATTAGGCTCAGGTATCTTTTCAGTTACTTTAAACATCTTTTGGAAGGAGAAGACTTATTTAGATGGCTTAGAAAGGGAGAGCTGTTGGTTGTTTTCCTCAGGATTCCTCTCCATTTTGAGGCAGATTTGCTTTATTCTAGGAGGAAATAGAAAACCCATCATTTCTTTCATAACCATGATTTAGAAGACCTGTCATACCCTTGCCATTGGGCAACCAAGTTAATAATTGACAAAGATGCATAGCTGGCCTTACTGAATGATTCCACCCCAACACTGTCAGCTGATGTAACTTACTCAGCACCTCTCAAGCATTTCTGGAAAGAGGAATGGTAAGCCCAACTTTATGCAGGTCTTCTGAACCACGGTAGGAAGTGTTCTTTAGTATTACCATAAATAGAAAATTTATACTTTCAATCATTAGATTACTTTTGGAAAAATTACATGAAACAATTCTTCCCTTTCAGGTACATCAAATTTTTCTTTCTCTTGTGATTAGTTAAATATCAAATATGTCAGATAATGAGCTGTCCAGTGTATCCTCCCTGATCATCTGAATTTGTTTTGCATGTGAGACTGGGAGCAGCTGCTCACTTATCAAAGAAGTCTGACCATGAGGTCACACAGTATCATGCCTTCCTAACAAATTTAATCCTCAAAGCAAGATCTATTTTACTTCTAAACAATAGCACATGCTCATGGAAAAACATACTAACTTGTTTGTTAGCACTTGAATCTGCCAAGTGCTTTTTAAACTCTTAATTCCTTCTCTTGAAACATGTTGCTGAGAATGGACTCATCACTGATGCTCTAAAACTAAACTTCCTTGAGGTACAACTGAAAGATGTTGTGAGCTGGGCTGAGCCAGAGAGAAAAAGGTTTATACCCAGCAGCTTCTGGCTTCATAATCAACAATCTGATCACTACTTCACACCTTTCTTTTGCATGCAAGTATTAAAAATGTATCAAATGTAATGGCTGTGCTTTAATAGAATAGGCTTGATTTTGCAGAGTTCCACTAGAATTATTTTCTGAAATGCTCAGCATTCATTTTAAGCCAAAAGATGTATCCAGATTGGAAAAGATCTCCTTTTTCTCGAAAGTCTGACTGTCACACAGGGAACTTCTAGGTTTGAACAGCTCCAAAGCCTGGCCTCTGATGAGGTACCTACATGGAGAATTCTTTGGCACATCTGACCCCAAAACCTGTGGTGCTTACTGAGGAAGGGATGTAAGCATAAGGACCTGATTTTTGATCTTAAAACCGAGTTTAAAAATAAACATGTAAACTTCCCATGGTCACTGCCAACCAGCAAATATAAAATATGACATGAAGCTGTACATCATCATCCATTGCAACCCTTGTAATCTTAATGTAAGTTGTCAAAACCTGTTTCTATCATACAGAAGCATGTGTGTCGCAGTACATTCAACTTACTATCATCTTGCTAGTTTGAAAGTAGAGGAGTCATTTCCCCTCACTACTTTTTACATAGAGTCACTTTATGTCCATTATCTAATTTAGGTGCATGGTCTGGTGAAAACTGCCAGTGGTGTCCATATCAGACATGGAGGCTGAATCTCTTTGGTCAGTAAAAGCACTACACCAGCATTCCCTATGGAATTCTCAGGCTTTCAGCACTAAGTATTATTTAAAGGTGACCAGTTCCACTCTTGAAAATGCTAAGCCCTGCCCAGTTCTTTCAAAGAATACTCGTGTGCACGTGAGAAGATGCGGCCATCAGCTTTACAACACCGTGGTATTGCTCACCACCTTGCAACTGGTGAGAGCTGGGATATAGGCCATATTAGCGTTGGCTCCTGGGAGGTGTCTCTAGTAATTGGCTGGGTGATTTAGGGACAATTCTCACATATCTCAGTTTCTCTCTTTGCTGTATAAGGTGCTCAGGAGTCTAACTCTGCACTAGGGAATTCATGGTAGGGAGATACCCAAAAGATAGGTATTGTGGCAGTTCTTACTTAAAATTTGAGGTGGCAGAATTTAAGGCTTTCTCTAGATCTTTGCATTTGAAGCGTGTTTGTCAGAATAATTTACTCCTGAACAGTGGGGTTTGGTTTTGATTGGTTTTGGTTGGTTTTTTTTTTTTTTTGCTTCCTCCAAATGAAGTAGATTGACTTCTACTGGACTATACACTGTACCATCCCATTCTGGCTGTGGCATGATTCCAAGAATATGAGTCTATGATAATATTTGGATTAGAAACACCAGTATTTTAGGGTTTTTAAAGATAAATCATAGAATCATAGAATAATTAGGGTTGGAAAGGACCTTAAGATCATCTAGTTCCAACCCCCCTGGCATGGGTAGGGACACCTCACATTAAGCCATGTCACCCAAGGCTCTGTCCAACATCTCCTTGAACACCGCCAGAAACGGAGCATTCACAACTTCCCTGGGCAACCCATTCCAGTGCCTCACCACCCTTACAGTAAAGAATTTCCTCCTTATATCCAATCTAAACTTCCCGTTTAAATTTTAACCTGTTACTGCTTGTCCTATCACTGCAGTCCCTAATGAAGAGTCCCTCTCCAGCATCCATATAGGATAAATCTTAGACTAACATTAGGTGTTAAAAATGATATTAAGAAAATTGTATGGAAAATCTTGACTTGAGTATCTTAATATAATACAATGGGAGTTCTGTGTTGTGAAGTATGAGGAATTCTTCAGCTTCCCTCTGTCTCACAGACTTGTGAACAGACTCATTTCAAACCTCACCAGTGAGACCAGCATGAATCCTGAAGGAACTTCATACTTGATCTACTGTGCTAGATTTGTGGCATGCCCTAATTTGCAGCTAATCAAGTTACTAAAACATGATGCTTCTGGTGACAAGTGGTGCAAGTTCACCCCATTTCTCCCATAGCAGAGATGTTTCTGGCAGAGAAGCCTGATTTCCATATGCTCCCTAGAAACCTACTTCCATTGTCCCCTTTTGATTCATCAAAGCTGCTTTACAGTATCAGTATCCTATTATGAAATAATAGTTCTTATGGGCACTCTCAAAGTTTCTGGCCTAAAACCATGGAACCATAGAACAGTTTGTGTTAGAAGGGACCTTAAAGCTTATCCAGTTCCAAACCCCTGCCACAGGCAGGGACATCTTCCACTAGAGCAGCTTGCTCCAAGCCCCATCCAACCTGGCCTTGAACACTGCCAGGGATGGGGCAGCCACAGCTTCTCTGGGCGCCCTGTGCCAGCACCTCAGCACCCTCACAGGGAAGAGCTTCTGCCTAATGTTACCAGGAATGACAATTTTAATTGTGCTGTTTGTAATTACATGTAAAACTACCATATGAAAGGAAGCTCCTTAAAAATCTGTTGGTTTAGGCAAAGTCACCCTAAATACTTCATTTTGTTAAGACTCTTTAATGCCATCTAAAACTCAAAGCCTTATGACACAAAATACTAACTGCCATGATCACTACTTCAATCTCTAATTCAATCTGCTAGTTCAAATGTTCAAAGGCTGGCTCAAGATTTTGGAAGGGGTAAATTAATTCTGGCAGACTTAAAGCTATGTCAGATATCATCTGTCTTCTGTTTCTATCAGATCCAGCTGGGTGGTCCCCTGGAAACCAGGCTACAGACAGCTTGAACACCAGTTTGAGTGCTTGGACTCAATAAATCAGAGATTTTATTATGTGCACATAAGCTATTAGAAATAAATGAAAAATCTGGCATGTTTTTCCTAGCCTATCTACTCAGGACAAGACTAAGCCACTCATATCTCTGCTGAAGGTGACCCCAAGCATCTTTTTCCCCAAAATGCTCTATTAATGTAAGAATGGCTATACCACGTCACGCAAAAGCCAGCTTGCCTGCTCTGCAGCAATGGATGCCTACAGAAGAATAAAGAAACATGAATGATGCTTCTGCAGAATACTCTTTCATTCTTTAGCAACTGATGCTTCAGGAACTTCCTCAGTCAGAGCTATTACCTTTGCATTTAATAGTATTTGATGCCCTGTACCTCTTGAACTCAGAAATTTCTAGCATCCCTAAGAACGCCCACTGCTTAACTGTATGTGTAAAGAACTGCCTAGTTCTGTGCTGTCAATACAGGATCATTTCCTGGTTCTTTGCTCTAATTCATAGTCCTAACTCTCAGAGCTTGAGCATTTTCAAGGTCTCAACAGGAACCCGCACCCAGCTGATGCTTCACGTGGTAGCTTACCTCAGCAGCCAGAACTGCTATCAGATAGCAACGCAGCAACATTCAGTTTTCCCAATTTCAGAACAGCACAAACTCTGTTTCTGCAGACTTGCTTTTGTAAGTCAGCAGAAGATGAGTCATCTGGAAACAAACGACTAATGATTTGTCCCCTAGGAGCCATATAGCAAGTTAATTATTGTACAACACAGTCTAATACAAAATACATGAGTGGTTTCAACTTCTTGAGGTTGCAAAGGGCAAAAGAGCTTCTCAAAGTTTCCATCAGTTATGGTCTGGGAATGCTGGGTTTCCCTTGACTCCCTATCTATTGCATAATCAGAAACACATTCAGTTCCGTTTCATGTATGAGACAAAGCTAAAGAAATGTGTTATTACTCTGCAAAAATAAAGAGGAGATACCTAATCAGCTTATGTCATGGATGCAGTGTTTATAAACACAACTGATCTGGGGCAGTTCCTCAGAACTATTACAGCTTGCATGAGTTGAAATAATGCTCTTCTGAACCTGCAAATACACCATCAGTACTGCATGGGAAGTCAAAATATAGGCATATGGTGTGCCATATGAATTTTAGGGAGCATTGTGTTAAAACATGCTTGCCTGGACTTCACCTGTCAGTGTACTGGACTTGCATGCGATCATTGCTGTGTTGTAGTTATTCTTAGTCATTGCCGCTTTACTGGGCTAGTGTGGGGTTGGTTTCTCAGCAGGAGATAATCTTATCAGTGCATAGAGGGAAAAACCTGAAAACAATGCAGTTTTCTTCAGCATCTGAAATATTTATGTTGAGAATCAGAAACAAATACATTCATACCTTAACAAACAGTAAAGGAGAAAGACTTTTTCCAGTAGTTGTGGCACATTGTTTGGGAACCTTCAGTCCTTATTTACAGATCCTCATTACAGGAAGGAAAGACTGGTATTAAAGGTGCTGATTTAAAATTGCTAATTTTAACTCACAGTTTTAGGCATGGCTCTGGCAAGAGATCTGGGTTCCTGAACACTCATTTGGCAGACTGACATGATGACCCCTCTCTTCTTTCTTGGAATTATTACATGCAAAATACAGATTCTATTCAGTTTTCTATTTATAAAAACTTCTATAAATAGGTCAGATACCTGGAAGTGCACTCATTGATCTGTCATATAGGCAAGTGCCAACCAGGTATTTGGAAAACAAATAAGCAGGCCAAATTGGGCAACAAGGGACAGCATGTATACAGCAATACCATAATCTGTAAGTATGCCATCTCCTCATCTGAATGCCTTACTTCAGTAATGGAAAAATAATACCCATTCCATATAGTGCTGGACCTCTGTGGTCATTAAGACCACATTAAGACCATGTGAACGTCATCATTTTTTGATCACCATACAAAACATAACTGTAATTGATCCCATCTCCTTTTGAACCTTGCTAACCATGTGTAGGCAGTGGAGAACCTTCAATAACCTTCAAGACTCTACCCTAAAGGCAAGGAACTTATTTGGAAGCTCTCTCCCAACTTCAGAAGTTGCTCTCTCTGCTTCTGGGATTGATAGAAACATTGAAATCACTTTGTTTCAAGAAAGAAAGGACATTAACCATACTGTACTACATTTTCTTTAAAGACTGATCTCATTGTGGTTATGGCAATTGAACATACAGTCAAATTTAAGTGTGTCTGTGGTGTGCTAAGATGGAGTAGGCAGGTCTGTCAGCCATTACAGACTGGCTAATGCATCATAATAAAGGCAGCAAAAAAATTCCAATGTGGTAAGGAATCAGTGTCAAGTAAGAACAGCTGTTTTACCTCTCATTATATCAAACAATCCTGGCAAAGATGAACATATTGCCAAACAGGCTTTTACTGCTTACAGGCAATGAACTAGGAGCAAAGACTGGAAGACCAACATACATACTTCAGCTTTTCCCTTCAGATATATGATCATACACTTTGGATCTCAAAATGCCATTTCATCATTTCTCAGACTTACAGAATTCTCACCTTCCCTCTCTAAAAACAAAGCTCAATACTATTCCTAATTATAGACTTAGCTAAGCAAACAAAAGGGATTGATTGGAAGTAATTTCTTTACTTTAGGAGTCTTTTTGCTACGTAGCCTATGGTATGCACTAAGAATATCATTCTGCCACCCAGGGAAGGCAGGGAACACACTGAACTTTCTTTCAGTACATTTAAGTGATAGACATAAGTGCAAAGGAGGAAGAAAAATGGTAATGCTCACTTATGCATGAAATCTATACTTAGTTTCTGTGACTCTCTGCTAATCATAGCAAATTACTATTAATGAACTGAATATGTCAATCAAAATACTAATTTACTGAAGATTCTGTACTACTTCTTTTCCAGGAATCCCTCCAAATTTGGCAATCTTGTAATCACAGTGACTTCAGCTGCCCCATCTGTCTCCAGACAGCTACTCTCCCAGTAGAAACCAACTGTGGACATTTATTCTGTGGTAAGTTTCCTGGACTGATGGTGCAGTGCTCAACCAGGCTACAAAATAAAGCAGTTCTTACAGGAATCTCATGTCCTACTAAGAACCAGGACCAAGCCATTCTCCCTGGAACTAATAATGTAAGTGCTGTCACTAGAAGCAGGAGAAGTCCCATTTTTACACAGAATCACAGAATGGTTTGGGTTGGAAAGAACCTTAAGGTCATCCAGTTCCACCCCCCTGCCATGGACAGGGACAACTCACACTAGACCATGTTATCCAAGGCCCCATCCATCCCGGCCTTGAACACTGCCAGGGATGGAGCATTCACCACTTCTTTGCACAACCTGTTCCAGTGCCTCACCACCCTCACAGTAAAGTATAGGTTATCTATCTCACAGGATACTGTTAAATTACAACACAAACTCATGGAATGGGTAAAACACACCACAAAATCACACAATTTGTATTCAGCTGTGCAAAAACCCCAAACAAACAAAGAAAAAACACCACAGTTATAAAACTCAACAGTCTAATAATCACACACTGTGTAACTGAGATAGATAGGTCGAGATGTAACAAACACGAAGTCTTACCTCCAAGCATGAACTCACTTCTGGGCAGACAGCTTGTCTTTTTAATCAACAGCCTAAAAATCCAGCTAGCCCATAAAATTAATTCTGATTGTGTTTACTGGTGAAAATTGACGTGCTAGGCTTAGGTCTGATTCTGTTCCAGACTTGCTTCCCTTGAGAAACAATTGTGTAAAATAAAGAAATGGTCTAGAGCAATGTGGCATCATTACATTGGCTTGTGGTCCTGTAAAAGCTTTCTAAACATAATAAAAAATAGTGGAAGTTACATATTAAACAATTCAAAAAGTGAGTTTCTAGTCATGTATAAAACAACTTCTAACTTTTTTATTGATTTTTGAGTAAATTTTAAAATCTTATGACCACATTATGTAAATGTGGGTTCAAAGACGTCTCATCACGATGCATGCTCAGTAACTGGGTATTGCAGCCCAGGATCTGGCTTAACAGGAAACAGACAGATCCAAATTCACAGGGTCCTTCTGCTGAGGCTGCCCACTCCCCTGTTCTCCCCAGCGCATCTCTAGTCACTGGATAATCTAAGTAAACCCAGAATTCTCTAGCTAAATGTGTCTGCTAAATGCCTTCTTTGAGGCTGCTAAACCATATGGTTAGGATTACAAAATTTAAATCATTTTTCAAAGGGAAAGCAAGGATGAAGCATGGAATACTGGAGGGAGTTATGTTCATAATTGCATTTATAAAGGGGATTTCAGGATTTTTAAGGCTCACATTCTGCACTGCTAGAGCCAGTGTGAGCTTTGCTCCTGCTTTGAAAGGCAGCAGAATAAGGCCACCAGCACACTTGGAGTGAACACTGTTCATCTCATACCTCTGAGATACATCGTCCAGTGAACTTACAGGTGAAGTTTACAACCTCCCTGCCCCAGCTGCTTAATCAGGTTCCTTTCTATATGCCCTCATCCTCACAGCAGGGCTGGGAAGAGAAATAGAGTTCACCATGATCTGATGAGGCTGAAGCTGCCCTAGGAGGTTTTTCAGGGCTACTGTGAAGCACAACATCAGCAATGTCTGGCAGAAGGGAAGGCAGGCAGCTGGAGGCAGTACTGTCTGATACTGCAAGAGCAAGATGCATCAGGAGACACTGCTCAGAATCATAAAGCTTCTTTCTACTGCTCTGGCATTTTACAGAGACCCAAAGCAAGGGCAAATTATAGTTACAAGCGAGCTACATTTTTTTTTTACCATATAAGAATGTTATAAAAAGACATCAGCATAAATGAAAACAAGGGGCTGTGTTGTTGGTGCTTAGTGCAATAAAAGCACATTTTTATCTTTAGGAAGTGTCATTTTTCTCTAGATTGAAATGATTCTCATACAGCCCATCTCCTCATCACCCCTGCCACTCTCTCCATCCTCTGAAAACACAACAGATCAGTGGATCACCAACAGCTAGGGACACTATGTAGGGCTCATCTCCCTCATGAGTGACACCATTTAATACTTGAGGTTGTTTCATGTTTTTATAACACTGTTTTATAACATACAGGAAAAGGATGCTTTGAATGTAACTCACTCCAAGACAAACAGTAAGCATATGGCCTCAAAACATGTTTCAAATAATGTCACAGTAGTTACAGTTTCAAGTACAAAGACAGACATTAACAACAAAGATCATAAACTTCCCTCTTTTCTGGCCTGGTTAATTTTCCCTTTTCCATCTGTGAGTATGACAAAATGATACAGACGTGATTTTGATTTTATTTTGAGATCTACAGAGGAGAATTGCCATATACAAGCTTGGAATATATTGTTATTGTTAGCTGTATATACTTAGCCAGGCTTTACTTCCTGAAGTACACCATCACTTACGCTCTCAAGCATCAACTCCAGTGCACTGCATTATATGTTAGGACTATGTTTATATAGTAGGAGCGGCCTCTGTAACATGTCTGGTTTTCATGTCTTAAACCAATAAAACTTTACATTGGGCTTATCAAAACCATTCTGTGTAGATCTAAGTCTGGTGTGACTGAAGTCAGTAATAAAACTTCTCTTGATGCCCTGTGGACCAGAGCTAAGGCACTGCTGAGCTCTCTTAATAAATTCCACTCTGGTAAAAGTTTTATTTAAAAAATGTGGTCAACCCAAAGCTTTTAAACAAGATTAATGTGGACTTATAAAAAATGTCTGATTTTATTATTAGTAGTAATTCATACAGTTTGTCCTGAAGTTTTCCTTTTCAGCTTCAGTTTGAACCATATGTTCAGGAAGTTCAACTGAAAAGTGATCCTTGAGCAATATTATTTTTTTCTAATTAACAATAACCACAGAGGTATTTTAGAGAAACCTCCAGCCTCCCTCACAAGGCCGTGCAGCAGCCTACATTGAATTGGGATTTTGTCTAGTTTATGAAAAATGCACCAAAGCACAAATAGGTCAGCTTCAGAGGAGTCCTTCCCTTCCTCTTCTACTCAACAAAGGATTCTGCATGCAGTAAATTTTACTTTCAGAAAATCATAGAACTTTAAAATGTTTTGGGTTGGAAGTGACCTTAAAGCTCATCCAGTTCCAACCCCCTACCACAGGCAGGGACACCTTCCACTAGAGCAGGTTGCTCCAAGCCCCTGTGTCCAACCTGTCCTTCAACACTGCCAGGGATGGGGCAGCCACAGCTTCTCTGGGCACCCTGTGCCAGCGCCTCAGCACCCTCACAAGGAAGAACTTCTGCCTAAGAGCCCATCTCAGTCTCTCTTCTGTCAAGTTAAAGCCATTTCCCTTGTCCTGTCCCTACAGGCCCTTGTAAAAAGCCCCTCTCCACATTTCTTGTAGGCCTCCTTTACATACTGGAAGACTGTTAACAATGTTTCCTGGAAGCCTTCTCTTCTGGAGGTAAAACAAGCCCAGCACTCTCAGCCTGTATTCATAGGGCACAGGGGGCTTTTCTGAAAGCCCTTGAACTATGGGATCTCTCAGCACTGCTATCACTGGGACTGAACACAGGTGCAGCACTACAGCCTTGTGGATTATGATACAGGATCTGGACCCAGCAGGTCAAAGTGGTTCCTGAAATCAGGTGTGATCCTTGTCAAATGCCAATGGTGGAGTGAAAACTGGAAGCTGCTGCCAGACTGCATTTATACATACCACACCAGTATTTAGCTATAAACACAGCCATGGGCTCAGCCAGTGGCTCTGTGTGTGCAAACAAAATACAAGAGTCAGAAAGAAAAGCCCTGCACTCAGATGAAAATGAAAGTTAAAAGCACAAATCAGAGCAAGGTTCATAAAAAACAACTTTGGGCCAAATTTAACATCCTCAGTCCTAGTACAGAAGATATAACTGATGGCAGCATGAACAGTTTTACACTTGATCTCAAAAATGGTTTCTCCAACATTCGCCTTTTCAGTGACAACAGACGAAGCAAGTCCGGGTGCAGAAAAACCCTGCACTGAGGGCTCCTAAAGACTTCTTGTTAAGGACGTGGAGTACAAGAAACTACTAGCTGGTTATTCTGAAGAACAAAGAGCATTGTTCAATTCAGCAAAACAATTCCATCAAAATGGCAGTGCAGCGTTCTGCTTCTGTTCTCACTGGGGTCCTTGTCAAATTTGATCAGTTTCAATGCTGAGAGATTTTTTCCCTGACCTGTCACACTGCACACTGTGCCCAGGAGCCAAAAGTCAAGCTGGGCTGCTTCTGATTAGATGCTATTTATGCTTTGCTGTTTTTGCTGTTAGTGCCAGTCACATATGTCAACCTCTGCTGTCAGCTGTATATGCAGTCTAATCGCACTGTCCTCAGACTCTGCCCCTTTTGCACACCTGAGACCCCAGCAGGTTATATCTGGAAAATAGCAGTTGTCTGGGTTAGAGGAATCAAAAAGAATAGAGCAACTCACTTTTTCAAAGATACACAGTTCCAGAAGGGTCAGAGCTGAAATATGGTAAGAGAGGACAAACAGACAAAATAGCCCCATGTATGGCACTTCATCACCACGATGCATCATTATGCATCTCATACAGTTCTAGAATGGTTTGGGTTGGAAGAGACATTAAAGCTCATCCAGTTCCAATCCCCTGCCACAGGCAGGGACACCTTCCACTAGAGCAGCTTGCTCCAAGCCCCTGTGTCCAACCTGGCCTTGAACACTGCCAGGGATGGGGCAGCCACAGCTTCTCTGGGCACCCTGTGCCAGCGCCTCAGCACCCTCACAGGGAAGAGCTTCTGCCTAAGAGCTCATCTCAGTCTCCCCTCTGGCAGGTTAAAGCCATTCCCCTTGGCCTGTCCCTACAGGCCCTTGTAAAAAGTTCCTCTCCAGACTTCTTGTGCCACAGGGAGGCTACATGACCAGGCTGTGCCCTGGCTGCTTATTTGGGGTAACTGGCCCTCATAGCCATTAAAAACCATATGGCTCTGGAGGAACTCAGTCTCTACGTACCTGCACTGCTTTTGCCCACCACTGCACTCTGAAAGGTACCCATGTTCCTGAGTGCTCCAAACTGCAGTCCAGGGAGCTTTGAGATTAAGACCCTATCCACAGGAGAAAAAACTGAATCAAAGTCTTTCTTGGGATGTCCCTGCATCTCTGCATATACCAGTGTGGAAGAGCTGAGGCTCCATTTTTACACAGCCACTTTGCAGAGTAAAACCACATATTGAAATTAAATGTTATGAATTAATTATGAAATGAAAATAAAATTAGTCATTTTCACAATTAGTTGTAGAAAGAAGGTTTATTAATTCTGATAATCTCCTGTAAAAATTACAGATCCTCAAATATATTTCACGTATCTTGATTTCCTTTTTGTTGGTAGGTTCCTGTCTGATCACCTACTGGAAACACAGTCCCTGGTTAGCAGCAATAACCTGCCCTCTCTGCAGACAAAAGGTAAGACTTACCTCTATCTGCATTATGATATGTACAAAATGACAAGCCTGAGCTCTTAAGATCAACTTTATTTATTCTCTGATTTTCCATGGCATTTCAAACCCCATTTAGACATCAGCGACCCTGCATTTGACACGTCCCATCAGGCAACTCTGTGAAATATTAAACAGACTTCCAGCATTTTACTTCTGTATATTTTGTTGAGTCTCTGGGATAACATACCAGAAAAAGCAATATGGAAGTTCCCAATCTCATGTGACCCTGGTCAGAGGCTGCCTGTTGTACTGGAAGGTTGGATGCAGGCTGCAAATGGAGAATGTTCTTGCTATTGTGGAACTGACAGAGCTGGACAAAAATCCAGTTGTGAAAGAGAGACTCTGGAGAGACCAGCACTACAGAACACTGTCCTTTATACTGGATATTCACATACACTGTGCTAATGCTTATCTTTTTCTTATGAAGGTGGTTCTTCTGGATAGCATCTCTTGTGAAAAGAAACATGATAAGCCAAGTAAACAAATTGTACATGACATTAGAGATTACAACAAGCGCTTCTCAGGGCAACCTCGACCTGTAAGTATTTATAAATCTACATTTACGTTGTCAGTAGCGCATAACACGTAGAGGATTGAAAGAAACCCAGCAATGAAAACTAGTTTATATCATTATGTGAATTACCTTTTTTGCACATATTGGCAATGCCACAGTGGAAGTGTTACCATCCACTGCTGGGTCCAGCACCTTCTAGTGAAGGTGCTTCTTGGAGTTCCTAGCTCAGAGGAGTCCCCCTCCAGTCATCGTGGCAGAGAGGAGAAAGCAGTGTGGGATGACATACAGGAAGCAAAGCAGAACTAGGGATGGTCAGGCTGGAACTTTCAAATATGAACTCAGATTTGAACTCCAGGATTTTAACTTGCCTCTAAAATTTCAAATCAGATTCCAGCTTAGAAAGCTGCTGTTTTTTTTTTTCCCCAAGGTATTTCCAAATTCAAATAGCCCACACTGGCTCTGCACTTTCTTAAAGCTGGAATCCCAGCTGGTACAAGATGTGACAGGCAGTGGAAATGAAGTGAAAGATGAGGGTGGAAGTCACAAGTGAGGGTGTAGAATATCATCAAAACAAATCTTCCTAAAAGATCATGGGGCCTGAAAGGGCTGTGGAGTCTGTTTCAATCTACAGACTAAACTAAGCACTGTGGATAGGAGTATTATCTTTCAACCCAACAAACTAGCATTAATGAGGAATAATCACTCAGTCCTATAGCTCCTGCCCATACCAAAGCAAGACTTGAGGCCTCATTTTCAAGCACTCATAGCCTGCACTTGACGCCAGATTTTAAAGACAGGCATATACTCAGCACAGGCTTTAGGACCCAGTTTCCAAATGGATTCAGTGTCAAGCACAATACTTTCTTTTCAAAGTGGGGAGAGTGGGGATTCCTCTCAGAAATGGGGCAATCGAACAACATAGGGAAATTTGGACAGCACAGAAAGCTTCTGCGTTCAAGAGACCTTTAAAAGTGCTTGAGAGAGACACTGAACTGAAAGACCTGCGTGCATCAGAATGCAAACTAATGTAATTAATCTGAATATTTAGTTTGCAGATTACCTTTATGACATGCCCTTATTCCTGACTCTTGCCTTGCGAGGAATCTTCACCTGGGGTGTTCTGGTATGGCTTTTTTTCCTGCGAGTTGCTGTTTGCTCCTTTGGAACTATCATATGCTTGTCTTCCCCATTTGACATGAAGCCTGGGCCTCTCTGTAGGACACTTGGAACCGCTGATGACATGGTGGTTGTTTCCCTTCTTTTAATTTGCATGATAAACATATGTCAGCAAATTGCACCTAATGGGGTGAGTGTGGCAAGGTCTGCAGCTCAGAGCATGCTGTCAGAAGCCTGACTGACTCAAACTTGGATTCCTTGGTCAAAGTTCACCAAGCAGTGACAGGTTTCTCTTTTATTTGGGGCAGAAGATGATAATTTGTCATTATGCCTCTGACAAAGGCTGAAGCAGGACTCAGCAATACTTGGCATGGCCAAATGATTCAATGTGCAAGCATTTAGAAAGCAAGTTTTACTCTGGATACTTGCTGGACTCTTTCATGCTACATTTTTCTTTAACTTACCTTCATACAAAGTGCCTGAGTTGAAAATGCCTAAAGCTATGAATAAAGCTTAAAATTAACAATGCCAAACAACTTGCAGTTGAAGAGTTTTAGAACTCTTGAGCTTTAACATTTTACACCTTGGCTCCATTTGAATAAAATCTTAATTTGAGAATTTAGCAAACTGTGTAATTTGCTAAGGCTTGTATAACACAAGGAATGTTAGATGGTATCGCTACAGAATCTTGTATCAGTGCTCTGTGTTATCACAGGTGATTACACATCCACAGGAATACAGATTTCTTACAGCTCTGCAATGAGAATAGCCCTGATTTTAAAATGGATAATATGGAACTGGTAATAACACTGGCTTGCAACACAAATGCATCTATGAAGTAGAGGTATTACAAGGGGAGGAAAGCATTAAAAGTCATGCAAGGAATGTGAACAAATCTCTTTTTCATATAAGTCTATGCAAGGTACATTGCTTCCTTTTGAACTCTGTGCCTCTGAGCTTCAACAACGTCAGCATGACAACTTGTTTCTTTTCTAGACTTCATACACTCCTTGTGATTGCCTTGTAAGTCTTGTGCCAGTTCAGCCAGAGAGGTCAAGGCCGATTTGATGATGATTCTATGATATAAATAGGAGGAAGGTTATGGAAAGGTTGCTGAAGTTGGGGGGTGTGTGTGTGCATGTCTGTGTGTGTTGGAGCTGCAGAGTTAAAAAGGTTGGCGCAGTGCCAGACCCCCCTACTCATCTGTCCCTGTACAATCTGTACATTTGCTATGTGTTTGGAGTCAGTGGACTTTATGTATGAATTGTATATTAAAATAAATGCATTAAAATTTATAAATATTTATTGTTCACAATACACTGGTCTCCAACTGCTTGTTCCTTCTCTGTATTTTCAGCTGACATGTTTTCTTGTGCCTTTGATTTGTAAGCTACGATACACCATTATGTTGTAGTCGTTTTCTTGCTTGTTATATCCTTTTTGTTATGATGTTTCTTCATTTTATTCCCATCAACTTTCATTGTCTTTAATTATGTCCCTGAACTTGTAAAGCTGTTTCTTTTAACAATGGGTACTTTGGAAATGGCAACAATTGCTTTTCCATGAACTACAAGGCAGGAAGTGCATTGTTTCTTTAAAAAAATTACCAGATGTTTTTGAGTGCTGACTACTAACATAAAAAAAGCAACCCAGAAACTATTATTTTCCAAGTTCTCTAAGTGTAGTTTTGTTATTGTGTAACTTCTGTTTGCATTTAACTGGGAATTACAGCCTATGACAATACTACAGAATGGAATTTCTATCAAGCTGAGTGCATAAAGCTGGAGCCCATCTACAGGAATACTGACTCCGTGGAAACAGACCATAGGTTGTTTCTCTTGCACAATGCAGGCTCATCAAGAGGGTGGCAATTTGAAGAAAGGAAGGGTTCTCCTGAGTGACCTATAGTATAGTTGTAGTTGATCTGAATATGCTCTTCTGTTCTGTCCCCCCTTGCTTCTTAACCCTCTCCTTCAGCTGGGGATCCTGGCTTTGCTTTTCAAACAGAATAGGATCCGTTATTAAGAAGTAACAGACTGTCGTGGCTTAAACCCAGCCAGCCAGTTCATTCAGTAACCTCCCCTTCTTTCCCTCCCCCTAATCCCAGAGGGATGGAGAGGAAAATCGAAAAGAATACTACTCCCATGGGTTGAGATAAGAACAGTTTAGTAACTAAGGTATAACACAAATCACTACTGCTACCAGCAATAATAACAATGATAAAGGAAATAACAAGGGAAGAGAATACAACATCTCACCACCAGCCGACCGATAACTCGCCCCCCCGGCCCGACCAAGCACTGACTGATACCTCCTCCAACCCTGCAGTCCCCCAGCCCTTCCAGGGAACTCCCAGTTACCTCCTGGGCATGACGTGCTGTGGTATGGAATACCTCTTTGGTCAGTTTGGGTCAGGTGTCCTGTCTCTGCTTCCTCCTGGCTTCCCCTCTTCCCTGGCAGAGCATGAGGCTCACAAAGTCCTTGGCCAAATCAAAACATCATTGTTATCAGCTCTGTTCCCAGGCCAAAAGTCAAAACACAGCATTGCACCAGCTACCAAGAAGGAGAAAAATGACTGCTACTGCTGAACCCAGGACACAGACAAATGGCAGAGAAAGAAAGAATTTCTGAGAGCATTTCACTGATGGCACTGGCAATGTTTGGCTCTTGCAAGATCAAAACAATTTATACTGTCAAAGGTGAAACATTTTTGCTGTATACAACTAGAGTATCCAGACTCTCTCCTTCCACAGCACAGTTAACTATGCAGGGCCACCTTCAAAACCACCTGGGAACAAGTAAAAGCCTTTTTGTTGACTGGATTTGGCTAGCAGGCAGCCAGGAAGGTGTCTGAGCATTGACAATTGCAAATCAGAAGAAGGAAACCCCTTTCTCCCTTTGCATTCCCTGTACTTTCTGTGTCCAGCTCAGAGCTGGTGACTGGGTCTGGCTGGAGCAATGTGTTGAGGATGGACAAGGAGAGCTGGGCTGTTTCATGGCTGACTCCTGCGAGGCAGCTGGCACGATGGCAGGAATGCACCTGCATTGGGAACATACTTTCAGCAACTGTGTCTGCTTAACCTCATCTTTCAGTGTCAGCAATGGGCCGTTTGACATCAGCACAGCGACACTGCATGCAAAGGGTGAGGGACTTGCAAAAGACAAAATGGCACCAAGTACTGACAGCAAAAGGACTGTGCTGTGAGAATGGAGACAGAAAAAAAGAGAGCAGGAAACTGAAAAAAAACCCAGAGAGAACAAGACTGCACAGCTGCAAAAGTGATTCTCAAATATCAGCCGCCAAAGAAGTACTATAATCAGAGTCAAAATTACAAAACCAAACAGAACTTTCCAATGGAATTCGTGGTCAGGTCGTAGCTGGAGCAGACAGTGAAATTAAAAGGACCATGTGTGGTGCCAGGTGTAGTTACCTCTGAAAAACATGGCAAAGGGCAGCGATTTGAGTCCATCCAAATCAGTTATGGTGTTCCTTGTGCTGTTCCTGCTTGTGGCCAGTCTGAATACAGCACCGGCGTACCCGCAGCTGGTTATCTGGTCTCCTCTGACTGGGGCAAATGAACATTCCTTGTCCTGAAGTGCAGAGGTTATTGACAGAAAACACCCAGTGCTTCATGGCCAGTGAGTGCATTTTATTTCTCATTCCAAGTTAAAATGTACACTTTAAATGATAAAGGTGTATTTTTGCCATGGACGGTACAGTGAGAAGACATTACCCTCATCACAAATAGCTGGAGATTCGCTCTGCCTGCTGTTCCCAGGTTACATGACTCCAGATCAGAAGCTGTTCATGATGGACCGATACTCTCTCTGATGTTCCACCAGTCTCAAAAATACTTCATATTTCTTGTCGTAAAATCTGTATCAGAAAGTTAATTTCAACAGAGCCCAAGGTTTTAAGTTTTAAAACCCCTGTATTATACATATTTACATCCATTGCGTAGCATCAAAGCAGCTTTGACTCTTTCAAAATTACAACTTTTACTGGGATCAGTGTCCTCCCAAAGCGCAGCTCCCACCCAAACGGGTGACTGCGAGTTATAATTACACCTTTCATTCACCCCACAGCAGGCTTTGATTTCCAGGCGCTTTTTACCTCCAGAGCCCTTCGCTGTGGGAGCATGGGCACAGTGCGACCTCGCTGCTCTCCTGCCCGTTTACACCGCCCGGAGAGCCCCGGGACTCGCGGCCCGCATCCTTCAGCCCCCGGTCCCCGCTTGCCGGAGCACCCATTGCTGTCGGAGTCCGCTCCCCGGCGCCGCCCGCCGCCGCCAGGGGGTGCCCGCGCCCCGCCGTGCGCCGCCGCCGGGAGCAGCAGCGGGCGGAGCGGCCCCGCAGCGCCCCGGACACCGGGCACCGGGACCCCAGTACTCCAGGGCTTCTGCAGCCCCTCGGCGGGGCAGGGGTGAAGATGCGCGAAGCTCCAAGTGCCGCGGGGCCCGCAGTCTCAGCCGCTCAAAGCTCCCGCGGCCCCGGCACAGCTCCTCGCATCCCTGCAGCTGCGGGTTGGAGCTCACTTGCTCAGGAAAGCCGTCGCGGGCAGAGACTTAGGGCAGCTCAGAGCCCACTGACAGCAAATCACAGCCTTCACCTGGGGGCAAGCGTGGTAATCTGTGGGGCTATAACGAATCTGGAGCAGGACTTTTCCCAAGGGCATAGGGGGACAGGACAAGGGGGAATGGGTTTAAACTGACAGAGGAGATTGAAATGAGACATTAGGCAGAAGTTCTTCCCTGTGAGGATGCTGAGGTGCTGGCACAGGGTGCCCAGAGAAGCTGTGGCTGCCCCATCCCTGGCAGTGCTCAAGGCCAGGTTGGACACAGGAGCTTGGAGCAAGCTGCTCTAGTGGAAGGTGTCCCTGCCCGTGGCAGGGGTTGGAATTGGATGAGCTTTAAGGTCTTTTCCAACCCAAACCAGTCTGATTCCATGGTAATCCTTCAAAAATGGGGGTGATAACTACTACTGCATTCAGTCAGGGCTATAAAGAGACAGGCCTTAACTTCACACGCCATAAATCCTCACAGAGGACCCCACAAAAGTCAGGATTACCTTTTATGCTCATGGTTGGGCTGCACAACTCTCCCAACTTTCCCCATTTTCGCCATGGCCTCCTAGTAAAAGACAAACACAAAGTGGTAAAGCCTGGTTTGATTTAAAATACTTTTTGACAAGAACAAGATGTTTCAAAACCAATCGGAACATTACTGATGTATTTTGTTTCGGCTGAACAGGCCAGATGGCATAAAATATGTTCAATCCCATTATATAGTAGTCATGAGAACAAAGTACTGCAGACCCCTCAGTAAACCAAAATCTGTTTCTCTTTCTTACTGGGAGTCCGATGCAGAACAGACTTATCTTTTGTTATTTACACAAACCAAAGGAAATGTTTGACAACGCATCCCCGGAGGGGAGATTTCTCAAATAAAATGATACTGTACATGAGATCCCTTGATCATATTCATGAAGTATCAATTCCCTGCAGCCAGAGAGGCTTAAATGTGCTCCAGAGGCTAAAACTGACTTGCAAAGCTCTGTTATGGAGCCCACAGCTACCCTCACATTCCAGTATAAAAGGTGTAGGAGACTGACTTTGATCCTACTCTGCTTTTGGCCAAAGCCAAGTCAGACAAAGGGATGCAGCAGAATTCCTTGCAGAAGGAGTCTCTGGGATAGAGTCACATGTGGAAGGGAGAGGATGGAATTATCTCTGTGAGATTCTGAATTTCTGTGCATTCTCCTGAGCAATCCCACTGGAATGAAAAGAAGCATTAAAGCAATAGCTTTCAGATGGAACAGGGCTGAACATAAAAGATCAGGATTCAACAACCAGTGTCTGAGTAAATCTCAGTCTATGTCATTTCTACGCAGCACCCTAAATCTATTTCCATGTTCCTGCCCAAAGCACAGCACAGAGCATATTGGAATGAACCTGGACATCAGTCAGCCTGCGCTGCTGCTGGAAGCCACCTAACCAACTTTACATGTGGAACACCTACTTTCTATATTTGTCAACTTCAGGGGTTAATTCTGGATGAAATCATGGCTCCACCAAAGCAAAAAGCACTGCCAGTGACGGTGCAGTCAGGGTTTTACTCTGCCAGGGCTTCCGGTAAAACAGCAGGGAGCATTTCTCTGCACTCCTATGCCCATACTCTTTTGTATGTGCAGAAGTTGCTTGTACTTTGATTCCCTGAGAAACACCCTTGAAATAACACTTCCAGCGAGATAGGGTGTTCTTTTCTCTGGGGCATGTGAGCCTGCTGGCACTGAGACTCTGCACACCAGCCAGATTAAAGTACTGGCATGGAAAGGTTGATATCTTTCCCAGTAAGTGTAATGGGCATTTTATTCCCTGTTCTTTAACAGGGGACACTAGCTCAAGCATTGTTCCTGCTTACAATAGCCCATCTTTTACTTATCCCTTACAAGGCCAGCTGGATTTAGAGGCTACCCAAAAAAAATGAATGAATACCCAGAAAAACCCCAACTCAAAGACAATTCCTTCTGTTGCAATCAATACTGCTTTTCCAGGTAGCGTTGCCTCTTAAAGAAGGCTTATGGCAGAGCCCCTTGAAGCCCTCTCACTAATGGAAAGAGTCACTTTGCTTTCTGTTCTCTGCTTTATGTCCCCTTTTCAATTGCCCTGGAGATACTGCATGAAAATGAAACTAAGACATCTAAAAAGTCTCAGACAGATCCACTTTTTCCCACATGTGCAAAGAAACATGAAAGGGAGGAACAGACTTTGCCACTCACTCCTCCATGCACGTGCAGGACTGGCTGCTGCTGCTCTGTTTGGGCATCACTAAGAGGACAGGATACAAACAGCACCATTCTCAGGACATGTTCTGCTTCTGCCGCAAGTGCTCTACACACTCATGTTCTGCTTTACTGTGGGGCCTCTCACCACTTCCAGTGCTGAAAAACACATTACTGCCTCTTTGGGAGATCAGCCAGCCTTTTGAGATAAACCTATCTTCAGACGGGTTTTATTTTTATCCTGTTACTCATCTAACTCCAGGTCTCCTCAGGCTGGTTTGAGAGAGAACACACCCCAGTGCCGAGGCCACCAGATGTGGAAGGTGTGAGGGCAGCCTGGCTCAGTTCTGCCATCCCGCCAACCGCTGCAGCCCCAACCCTGGCTCAGGCTCCTTCCTGCACATCCCCTTGCTCTCCACCTCTCCAACCACCTTGCTGGTGCCCAACACCACACACGGCACATGTGACACACCAGCTTTCAGACCTAGTGCTTTGCAGCAGTGGTGTTCAAAGGGTGAAGCCAGGTCTCCACAAGGTTGATGAAAGCCTCCTATGCTCCCTGTGAGATCTCCCCAAACCCAAAACCTCTGGCACAGAGATCCTATTTCCCTGCTGGGCAGCTAATACTGCTCCCATGGGACCAGGAGCAGGAAAGGTAGAGAGGTCCCTAAAGGAAAACTGCTCCCTCAAGGCCTCATCCACACTAGGAAACCAGGCCTGGCTGCTGCTAATCTTCTGCTGGCCTACCCATCTATCCACCTTTTGCTAAGGAAGCAGATGCCAAAGCAATCTTTCCAGTTTATCAGCTAAAAACTTGCTTGTATCTTTAAATCCACTTGAAAATACATACTTTGAGGATCCAGATCCAGAGCATTAAGGTCTCACAGCAACCACCATGCCAACGCAAAATAACATGTGAAGAAAATACCCAGCCAGCAATTTTCAACAACTCACTCATTCTAGGTTGCTCCAAATGCCCTAAATGAATTCCCTCTCTTAATTTGCCTTTCAGCTGTCTGTTTTTGTGTTGTTTAAAGTCAGTTTGGTCATTGTTAGTTTGAACAAAAACTTTACTCCCGGAGGAGAGTCTTTTCAACAATTTTCTGAGGACAAAGAGGAACAGAACATTGAAAATATGAATTTATAATGAAATGGGAAACAAAGGAACATTAGAATCGCAGAACTGAATCAGATCAACCTTGTGCGCTGTTCTCTCTCCAACAAAGCCTTAAATATAGCAAAGTGATAATACTGCTGTTCAGAAACAGTTTGTTTGAGGGTTGACATCCAAATCCATAATTCCAGTCCCCAAGAATTTCACAGTCTTAATTTGAATGACGCTCTATCATCTTTTTTGTTTGCCAGTCTAGACTGTACAATGAATACAGTGACTTAAACACAATGAATTCTCTCTTAAAACAAAATATTTTGTAAAATTGCTTTTTAATCATTTCTTTTCTCTCTTTCCATAAAGGCTACGGCTATAAATAAACCCTGAAAGTTCGCATTTGATCATCGTTTCTAAAGGCTGGGCAAGAGGCAAGTGAAGGGTTTACACAGAAGAAAAGAGAGGCACTGTGGAGCAGAAATAAAGGGATGCATTCATGATTTCTAACCTTTTGTTAGAGTGTCAAAGCTGAGACAGATACAAGCCAGTAAACACTCCGCTTACCATGGAGAGAGTCAGTCAAATGGGGTTACCCTGACCAGGACAAGGAACCCAGGCCCAGGGAACCAAATTCTCCAGGGCCCACCAGGATTGCTGCTGGAAAGGCGACCCAGCTGGGGAGGTGAGTAGCCATTCCAGTTCACTTGGTGCTGGTGCCTGAATTCTACTCTTCAGTATGATCTGAGGCAGGGGATACGTTTAAGACACCAGGGCAGCTTCAAAGACAGTAGATCTCCCAGAGGAAACCCTATCTGGAACTCGGAGAAAAACCTATCTCCTAAGAAGATCCTCCTTTAACACAGCATGTGAAAGCTGGACATTTCAACCATTCTCACTTTAATTATGGAAAGGGTTTTTAACACTGTGTGGCAGCCACTGTGCAGCAAGTTGTTCTTTCATGCCAGGAGGCACCAGGGAAGCATGTCAGCCCGGCACCAGGAGCCCTCAGAAAGTGCTTACAAGGGTTCCCTTTAGACTGGGAGACCAGTCTTCTCCAATTCCCTACCCAATGGGCTCCTATAAGATCTGTCTCAGAGGACTAGCACAATCCTGCTCATCCCACAACAGAAGCCCATCTCCCTTGGACTACAGAGGGAGCCAAGGAAGATGAGCCCACTCGTGAAGAGTCCTAAATCTGCTTTTCAGTAGTGACTCCAGGACTTCTGTGGCTGATTATTACTGAAAATTAATGGGATGTAGGCCCTTAAAAGCACACATCAAATAAGAAATCAGATTTAGGGATGTCAGCCTTGGCTAAGGAAGTCAAGTAACAAAATCCCATTGAAATGAATGAGCTGGGAACATCAATTCCCTTAAGAATTTGGGCTTTTGCTTTATTTAGGTACTTCTAAAATTGTATATGAAGTTAAATGGATGAGGCATTTGAGCATAAATGCAATTTCCCAGCTGTTTTCTCCCCACACAGTCATTTTGATAATCCCCCGAAATGTTTGGACTTTTACCTAACAGAGTTACTAATGGTGAAAACAACCATATATCATCTCAAATTTTACTGTACAATTCCAGTGGCTGAAAGCATTTGGCCTGCACATACAAAAACACCCAGGAAAGCTCACCAAACTGTGGGAGTACATCATGCTCCAGTGACAGCAATGGCTACTTGGAGGAAGGATCCTTGGTCAATAAGAAAACCGAGAGGAAGACTCCAGTGCAAATGAAGTAAGTTTTCTCAGTCAACACCACTGGTTTATAGCTTGTTCAGTGACAGCCACTGCACCAAGAATGAATGGCCTATGAATGATGGGAAGGATGAAAAACAGCTCTGCTGTAAACCAGTTTGGATTGTAACTTACAACTAATTCAGGAATCTCGGAACAAGCTGGAATGAGATGCTTGGCTTTACTCTTTTTCCTCATCTGAAGTTGTTAATTCACCTCATTTTACTACTTATGCAAAAAGAGGAAATTATAGTGAGTTTTCTTGTGCCAATATAAGCCACATGATCAAATGCTGCCATTCTTATGGCCAAACATGGTAAGAAATCCATACCAGCAAATGTGCTTCTTCACATGTTCCTGAGAATGACACGAGTGTATGTGTGCAAGGCCAGTCTCAATATCTGAATGACACAGAGCTCTGAAACACAAATTTCACCTTCATTACCCAGAAAACACTACCCAGGTTCCCATTCAGGCCAGTGTTGACTCTCTAGTGGTTTATATAGCTCTGCTGTCACAGATCCAGCATCAGAAGAAAACTATGTAAAAGCTGCCCCATTCACAACAGACTGAAATGTGGGAACATTCTTCCCCACCAGACTGGTTCTGATTTGCAGACCTCAGCAGGTGGAAGTACCTTTAAATGAACATGGCTTTCTTCACACTTCCAAGTCCTCATAGCAAATACCATAAATAACGTTACATGTAATAATTTCTCTGTTCTTCAACAGTGAAGAACCTCTCTGTCACTCATCTCTATTCCACACACACAGAAGCTGAGCCTAACGGAAGCTAACCCACATCATTTTAAGAAGTCCAGTCAGAGATGTATTTGGATTTGAGGGAAATAAACAAACTCCTTGAAATGCTGATGCTCCAGAAATACTTTTAAACTTTTCTAAGAACTGTAAGCAAGGCTGCTATTTTCTTATGTTTTTGCTTACTCAATAGCCTGGAAATGCAAAATTCACCTTATCTGTGCTTACAGGAGTGACATGAACATATTTATGTAACACAGCCCTAGCAGCACATTACTTCTTAGTGGTATATGACTGCATGAAGAAAGCATGTGATGGACCATATACCATATTTTTCTAGTGGTTTCTTTCCCCCCCTTAAATTTGTTTGAGTTATAGGGGCAGAT